ATATATAGATATATATACATGCATGCTGTGGTAGTGTTTTAAAAACTATATTAAAATTATGGTGACATTTCCTCATTAGATATGAAATTTGTTATACAAATCTCATTTACCACAACTTCCTTACAAAATATTTTCTCATTTCTTCTAGAATATTAATTATTTCTTCTTACATGTAAAACTAAATCTATTATTTCTTACAACACACTAAATAACTAATTATACTTGCCTTTTATTTCTGTATTATTGTTCTGGCATTATGAAGTCTGCCTTTATGTATCCAAATGATAAACTCTCTGTGCCTGAAGTCCTAAGACATAGAAATATGTGAAATGATAGGAAAGGCGAAAATGGAAATAAGGATGGAACAAAAAAAAAATAAAAGGAAACATTCAAGTATTTAAAAAGGAACTGAAGCAGGTATGTTAAGGATTTATAAGGTACACAAATAGTTTGCATGCAGTTTATTCTGACCGCACCTGTCTTAGGAATATAAATTCTGTAGGGATAGATCACTGTGATTCATAAGTCACTATGATAATATAAGAAGTTTTCAGGGCTGGGGAGATGGCTCATTAGAATAATCGCTTGCCTGGCAAGTACAAGGACCTGAGTTCAATCCCTGGTTCTGCCAAAAAAACAAAAAAACAAAACAAAACAACAACAACAACAACAACAAAAAAAAACAGTAGAAAGAAGTTTTCACCTTAAAAAGGGCAAATGTATATTTTTCCTCTTCCTTATTGCTTATGAGGTCATTGATGGGTATCAGGTTTCAGAATGAAAACCTGAGCAACCCGTATACGAATCTCCTTTGTCTTCACACCATAGACAATAGGGTTAAGGGCAGGGGGCACAAGCAAGTAGATGGTAGACAAGAGGATGTGGACATAAGGAGGCACATGGCCAAAACGGTGACTGAAGAAAGAAAAAAAAGCAAGAATATAAAACTCCAAGAAGACAACAATATGAGCTGTACAAGTATTGAATGCTTTGATTCGCGCCTCTTTCTGTGGAAGATGAAAAACTGCGTTAAAAATCAGAATGTAGGAGAAGAAGACAAAGACCATGTCAAACCCTAGAATTGCAAAAGCCACGAAGAGCCCATATGACTTGTTAATGTGAACATCTTCTTCTACCATCTTGACTACAGCCATGTGCTCACAGTAAGAATGGGCAATAATCAAAGAGTGGAAAAGTTGCAGTTGTTTCAGTAAAATGGGTAAAATTCCAACCAGTACTATTGCCCGGATTGCCACCATTAGCACCACTCGAACTAGAAAGAAAGGTGTGAGGATGGATGTGTGCCTCAAAGGATCACAAATGGCAATGTAGCGGTCAAAGGCCATGGCCAAGAGGATGCCAGATTCCATGCCCTGCAAGGCATGAACAAAGAAGAGCTGGGTGAGGCAAGCATCAAAAGCCATGGAGCAAGAACCAAACCAGAAAATGGCCAACATCTTTGGAGCAATGGCTACACAAAGACCTAGATCAGTAGCTGCTAATACTGCTAGGAAGATATACATGGGTTGGTGTAAACTGTGTTCCATAGGGATAATAATTAGCAATAATGTGTTCCCCAGAAGAGCCAGCAGACACAGGCCAAAGAAAGGAAATCCAATCCAAAACTGCACATTCTCGAGTCCAGGGATACCAATCAGGATCACTGTCTTTGGGTTCAGGTATGACATGTTGGTAAATCCCATGTAGCTGGTTATATCCTCTAAAAACCATGTACTCTGTGACCTAGTCAGAGAAAAATTATCAATGGGAAGGAAAAGGCACTACCCTCTTCTTCTCAGAACACATAAATATAGATGGGAATTTGACCATGTTACTTTCCATCTTTAGGTATCAGTTTAATTCAACATCAGAATAGAGCTCTTCTCCATTTAGAAAGGCAAAGGTGATATTTATGGATGAGGATTGTGATGCAATATTCATTCCCAAAAGTTGTTTAAATAGAAAGTATGGTTTTAAGAGGTCTGATTCCACTAGTTTCCATAGTCTTCTCACAGAATGTCAGAGAGGGTAATCTAATCTTAACGTTCTCTATGTCCATCTTGGAAGTCCAGTTATAGTACTGATTAGAATAAATTACTCTGTGATAATTGATGTCATAATATAGGTCCTCAATCCCATCAACCTTTCCAGTTAACCCAAAGTTCAGAAGGTTCAGATTGTGCAGTCTTGTGCAGTCTTCTTGTATTCTCATGTTCCAGTTGTGAAATACATCTTTTCTCAGCTTAGGAATTGACAGCCAAATCAGATGGAGTTTTCTGCTTTAATCAACTTTGATTAAGCTATTTATGGAGCAGTCAATTTTTTGGTTCCTGTAGGAGCTTTGTATTTGACTTTTTTTTATCAACATCAACTGAGTATGTTGGCTGCGGTTAGTATAAACAGAACGGAAAGAGTAGTGACCTAAATACGTAGAGAGCTAAAAGGAAAGAAAATTTGAGCATGGATAAGAAGTCAGTGAATTATAAAGGAGTAATAAGCTGGATTAGAATGCACATAAAAACCTCGCCTGTTGGAAAACCTCTATGGATCAAACAAGTTTAGAACGTTAATGTGCCTCAGATGCAAAGATTATGGCTGTCAGGGATCTCACCGTAACCTGCATGCATTTTCCATTTTAATTTTAGCACTTGACAGCAAATATAACTCCTGACACTTTCAATATGCTGTCAAACTTCACATCCACCCCAAACTTCTGATCATTTTTATATTTTACTTCACCTTTTTTTTTTGTGGAAAAAACACCAAATAAAGTCAAAACGTTATCTATAATGGCAGTTAAATAAGAATTTTCCTGAACAATTTTACACGCTTAAAATAAAATAAAATGAAAATGAAGTAAAATTTTGTTGATTTTCATACAATTGTGACACAATCAACTGATGATGTCAACTAAGAGGTATTTCTTTGAATGAGGCATTTTTTCCATTCAACATAAAATAAATACACAAAAGTAAACAAATTTCTAAAAAAAGGAGTTGGTTAAAAACTTCTTCAGAAGATGAATTTTCCACAGGAGAATAATTTTAGTAAGCCTGATCTGTAAGATTTGACATTTACGTAAGCAGAAACAGTGGTCATTGTTGAAGTGGAGCAGACCAAAAATGCTCCTGCCCATTGCATACCTTGGTTGAGTGAATAAATTTAACATAGTGAACTAATTTTGTTAATACACCTCACAAGTCGTCATGCCCCTGCTTAAAGTTTTAGTAAGGAAGTAAGAATGCAAGGAATGGAAAGACTGATTTAAAAGTTTCTTCTGTGACAGTAAAGTACACTTTTTCTACAACTCAGCTTTACATGATAATCTGGCCAGTAAATATTATTCCTAGTCTCATACTGGAAAATAGTATAGGTAAAGGTAAATGAATACATGATAAAGTAGAGGAAAAATAGATAAAAAATGATAGAGATTAATATCCCTGATATAAAAGGTCAGATTTTAGTGGATAGAATATGAGCTTAGGTGACTGCAGACACTATAGCAGTACAATCAGATAACAATGCTGTCACAAACAGTAGAATACTTAAAATTTGTATAATCTCACCACATCTTTCATATCTTAATGTTTACACATACACGTACACACACACACACACACACACACACACACACTTTGTAAACCCAGAATATCTCTTATTTTAAAATTTTAATAAACCAAAAATGTTACAATCACTTGTACATAGAAATTAAATTGGAAAAGAATTCTTGTTTTTATCTTGTGCTTGCTACTACTCAACAGAAGCTTCCATTAAGTTTTCTTCACGTTAACTAGAACAACAATTTTAAGTCATGTTTGATCCTCTTCCATTTGTAAATGACATGAATCTAATGTATCTAAGATGTTCACAAAACAACCAAATAGCTAGTCTTAGATTCAGAAAAAGAAGCTGACCTGGATAAAGGAAATTTTGCTACCAAGAAGCCCAGAATTAAGGTAATTTAATATGCTTTTTCACACTATCTTATAATTTTCTACAACCAAGAATTCCTAGCTATCTGCATTGCCAGTACATAGAGAAGAAACTCACCCAGGAAAACAAATACTGAGCAGGAATATAAGCACCATGGATGGAAAAATCTTTGCTGATAGATTTTAGAATCCAAAAGATGTTAATAGCTAAGTATCTCTCATTATCTGCTTTTAGCTCTTCTTTTCCTGGACCCTTCATAGAATCTGAGGTGATCTCAGGAGGATGTTACAGACCTGGTCCCTGGAGTGGTCATCACACTTCTGAGACCAATCTCTACTTTGTAGAAGAAAGTTACTCCTTGCTTGAAAGTTTCAAGCCAGAAAATATTTAGTTCTTCATCAGAAATAATGAGAACAGGAAAATATCAAGTTATGGATCATTTTCAGAGCATGATGATTTCAAATCCTTTGAAGAGTGTGAAATGAAAATCAGAGATAGAGAGAATTTGTAGTCTTAAAAAACCAAAGACAGGGGCTGGTAAGATGGCTCAGTGGTCTAAAGCACCTACTTAGAACAGGGACCGTGGTTCAATCCCCCAGCACCACATGCCAGCCAGCCCCGCCCCCTGGTGGGCTGAGCTGGCCACACACACACACACACACACACACACACACACGTTAATAAACAAAATTAAAAAAAAAAAAAGAAACCAAAGACAGTCATTTGTTTTTCCAGCTTTCAAGCCTATGGTAAGTTTACAGTTGTAAGAAATAAATTACAATTCATTTTCCACATATAATTTTACTATATCTATAACTCATGAAACTGAAGTTACCAATATTGTGACGATTATAACTAAACTGAAACTGTACCACTATCAATATTGTGATGATTATAACTAAACTGAAACTGTTAAAGCATTTTACAATTTCAAAAAATAAAAAAATGCACCCTTTCATCTCCAAAATTCTGTACACTTTTCTTGCCACTTTTGTCCTTTCAAAAAATGTTATTTGGGGCTAGGTAGATAGCCTGAAGGCCTAAGTGCCTGCTTGGCAAGCACAAGGACCCAGGGTTCGATCCCTGGTGCTTCTGGCTGTGCTGACCCCGTGACGAGCTGGCCACTGAAACTAGGCATGGCAGCAAACACCTGTAATCCCAGCACTGGGGAGGCTGATACAGGAGAATCACTATGAGTCCAGACTGCTGGTAAGACCTTGTACTAGTTGATACATTGCGTTAACTTGAGAATTTTAAAAGTTTAATTATGTGACTCAGCAGAGAGCCAGGATTCTTAGCTTAAACATCCTCATCCTGTGCAGGAGGATGGCATGCACATTGTGTGAGTTCTACATCTCCAGCCCCAGAATAGCTGGTTTATAATATAAGGAAGGGAGAGGCTGGCTAGAAGCCACAGTTGCTGCCCTTCCTTTTGCTCTTCGCTGTTTTTCTGCTTCCATGAACTGCTGCTCTCTGCCATGTGCCACTCTGCCTGGCAGCCAGCTGAGGATAGAATGAAACCACCACAAATCTGAAGCTAAATAAAACTTTGCTTCCTTAAATTTGGGTGTCCAATATTTTATCCCAGCAATGAGTAAAAACTTGTACAGAACTTGTACCAAAGTAGAGAACTTGTACCAAAAAAAATAATAAAAAATGTTTCAAAATGTTTCAAAATGAAATTCATATTCAGTGGAATACTATCCTACCATAAAAAATAATTCTGAGACATTTGTAGATAAATGAATGCAATTTGAGAATATAATATTAAGTGAAATAAGTCAGACATGTAAACATAAATATTTTATGGCTCCTCTTATATGAGACATTAAATAAAGAGCAAAATAGAAAAAGAGATAAATGGAACTAGGGTGAAGATCAAATAATTCCTCAAGTTACCTCTACTGTTGCATCAAAAATATTTTATTTATTTATTTGTTTATTTTTATTCATTTTAATGAGAAAAAAGATAAAATAGCAATGAAACAGTTTCAAAACAGTTCAGTAGGACAGTTGCAATAATTAATACATTGCATATTATTGTCTTCATAGTAGTTATTCAGAGGACAAGATGTACACACGATATCTTGTCTAAACAATATTAATATAAACCTTTCTTCTCATTGAACTAAAAGAAAGTAGCTGTATATCTATCCTAACTATCTTGCAAATACATATATATTTTTTTCACTACAAAATAGTCTTTTATTTATATCCCTATTTTTTGTTTTGTTTTGTCACAGATGGGTGTTCCAATGCTGTTAGAGAAGCTGTACTTAGAGAAGTCTTTAAAGGACTTCAAAAATATTGCAATGAATATGTTTTCACTTATATTAGTATTAGTTTATTGCAAAGAAAGTTTGTATAATTTTCTGTTTCTATTTTGTAAGAAAAATTTTTGTTGGTGTCTTTTACTTTGCATAATTACTTTGAAAATAATGATACACAGTTTATAGTTGCTATTATTCTCTTTTTTTGTTATGAAATTTTAAAGAGAAAAACAAAAACAAGGAAAAAAGCAATATAAAGCAACACAAAGGGTACAGTATTTCAAAACAAGAATAGTTATGTACTGTGAAATTTTGTTTTATTTTTCATAAAATAATAAAATAACAAACCTGTGCAATATCTCCTAGTTCCCCATGGCCACTAGATCTTCTGCCTAATATCTACAAAAACCCACTTCCCTGTCTGCTATCCCCTCTCTTTTATTTTGCTCTTTAAATATTTTATAGTTGGAGTTTCTCATATAAGAGAAACCGTGTAACATTTAACTTTCTGTATCTGATTTATTTTGCTTAGCATTACAGTCCCAAGATACATCCTTTGTACTAAAACTGACTTCCACTTACTCCTCTTTATGACTAGTATGGCTTAGGACAAATTGGGGATGTCTGATTCTCATTTCTGACACCCTTTGACTCTCTACTTTGACTTGAGAAATTGTTTTGTTTACAGTTAGGAAAGGTTTATTTCTTCTTTCCTTGTTGCCATCTGCCTGTTTGCCTTAGTTGCTGGCTAAGATCCAAATACGATATGCATAGAAGTGGCCTGAGTGTACTTGTTTCTTAATTTAGGAACATGTGTTCAGCACTCACCATTAACTGAGAAGTCCAGCAGAAGATATCTGGTGGCCCCTGACTTGAATTTCATTTAAGGCCTCGTGAATTTGTTAATGTTTTAAATATATTAGAATACCTCACAGATTTTAATGCCCTCTAACATATGGTTAGCATGGTTAGTTACAAGAAACAATTTTATTTCTATATAGATTTTATTTATGATTATTTATTATCATGTTATTATTGACTGAGTTGGGTTTGCTAAAATTCTGTTGGCATTTTGATATATATTCTTATAATGCTTACAATTTTTTAAAATATAATTAACAGTTTGGGGATCAAAACTATCATTTCCTGATAAAATGAACTACTATATGGAAGCTACTATACCTCCTACATTTTCTGAAAGAGTGGTGTTGATAGTGAGTATTGTCTTTCTTGAAGTGTCTGTGATTTAATTTTCAAGGAGAGGAATTTGATGCTCTGTGTATGTTTTAATTTAAAAGATTCACTCATGGAGCCAGCAAGACAGCTCAACAGTCTAAAGTATGTGCTTAGGCAAGGTTAAGCAGGTACACGGGACCATGATTTGTTCCCCAGCACCACATGCCACATCAGCCCCTTCCCCAGGGTGGGCTGAGCCGGCCAATAAATAAATAAATAAATAAATAAATAAATAAATGATTCACTCACCTTACAGTAAAATAGCAATTCCAAATTTATGTTTATTCTTTCTAATGTTTACAATTTATGTCCTTCATACATTGTGTTTCTTTTATTTACATTGTTGATTTTATAGCTTTTGTATATGTACAATATCAATACTTTTGTTTCTGTATTTGCAGTATGTGAGGATATACCTTTTCTCTTTAAGTCAATTACTTATCCTTTTCCCTCTTACTCTCATTCTTTTCCTGATAATTTATCTTATATTTAATTGATTTATAATTAATTACATTTTTAATATTTCTGTTTACTTATGCATTATTATGTATATATTTATAATTTGCTCTTTTTGAGGTATAAACAGGATCTTCAGAGAGAGGAGAGGGAGGGAAAGAGGGAGGGAGAGACAGAGAGAAAGAGAAAGAGAGACAGAATACATCAGTCAACAATGCTCATTCATTTTAAGAACATACAAAATTGATGTCATAATTGGTCCAAAGTAAACTCTACCTTTATTCAAACATTTAAATTCTAAAAGTAAAAATAAATAAACTTCTAAAAGTATTCCTTGATAGCAGCAAAAATAAATTAGAAATTCATAACATAAATATTTTCACAGATCCTTATTCCTTAAAAATCAAGTGGCTGGGCATGGAGGCACATACCTGCAATCCCAGGACTTGGGAAGCTGAAGCAGGATTGCTGTGAGACCAATGCCCACCCAACCTAGGCAACAAGACTTTATCTCAAAGAAAAAAAAATCCAATAATACACATCCCAGTAAATTGTGAGTTAATCCAGAATCAGAGTAAGCAGTGAACTTTTTTCACTGAGTAACAATAAAAATGAAAAATGTAATATGTCAAGATCTATGACTTAAATAAATCCATAGGCTTATGGAGGAGAAAGCTTAGTGGTCTAAGCACCTACCTGGCAAGTGCATGGACCAAGGTTTGATTGCTGGTACCTCATGCCCTGCTGGACTCAGAGCCCCAGGCATGCCATGTGCTAGCCACCAAAATTTGGTAAGGTGGTGTATGTCTGTAATACCAGCACTGGGGAGGCTGTGAGGAGAATAACTATGAGTCTGAGCTCCATGGTGAGACCTTGTCTCAGTTACTCTTCTCTTAGTGTTGGGACAAATACCTGACACCCAAAATGAAAAAAAGAAAGGTTTATTTAGCTCATAGTTAGTGGAGGTTTCAGTCCATACTCAGCTGGCTCTAAGGCAGACTGTGGCATGACAGAGAACAGCCATTCATGGCAAAGGCAAAGAACAAGAGAGCAAGAGCAAATGGGAGGAGTAACAGCAACAATGGCTACAGGAAACAAATGTCTCCTCTGTGCTGTACTCAGGCTGCTTCCCCAGGCTGGGTATAACACTCATACCCCATTATCCCAGTAGATCATGAATTAATCATAAACTCTAGAAGTCCAACCCATGACTGCATGAGGCTTTGGGGGGACAACGACACAAATCATAACATTATTCCCCAGACCCCTCAAAGCTTCATGCACATCCCTTTGTGCAAAAGGCATTTTAGTCCACCTGTAAGAGTAGCAAAAGTCAAAATGGTTTCATCATTGCTAAAAAGTCCAAGTCCCATGTCTCCTCCAAGATCCAAGGCAAACTCTTGGCTGTGAGCTTCTGTACAAATGAAAAGTTAAACACTTCCAACATTCCTTGGCACAAGATAAACAGTACCATTCCAAAAGGTGCACTCAGCAAGATACCAAGCAATGGGACCAAACCAAGTCCAAAATCCAGAAGGGGGAAACATTAAGTCCTGCAGTGCCATGTGGAACATCCAAAGAAATATGTGGCAAGTTGTGAGCTCCATGTGGCTCCACCTCTATAGCACTTCTGCTGGCAGCTCCCATGGCTTCTCTCCTAGGCTGAGTTTGTTCCCTCCATGCAGTTTGCCTCAGATGATCCACGTCCCTGGATTTTCAAAAATTCTGGGGTTTCCACGGAGTAGGTTTCTCACTCACACCTTTACACAATGCCTTATCCAGGGCACACTACCTGGCCTCCCAGGCCTGCTTCTGAAATCTAGGTGGTAGACTTCTTAACCTCACAACTCCTGCATTCTGCAAGCACCTAAAGTCAATGCCTCATAGATGAAGCCAAGGTCTTCTGCCTGCTGGAGCAGTATCCAGGCTTTCTTCATTCTTGGCTGGTCATTCAGGTTGAGTGCCTGGATTGCTAAGCACTTTGAATGTGATTCTGAGGAATGATTCTCCATATCGGTGCCATTCTGGAATCTGATGTGGTCGCTGATGCCATTCTGGAATGTGGGGTTCTGTAGCTTTCCCCTGAAAGCAAAGTCCCTCACCATTGCAATTCTGAGGCTGCAAAGGGTGGAGAGTTGTCGCCTTCAGTGATGCCCTCAACCCATCTTTTCTCTTCTCTTTTTCCTTCTTGGCAATGGAGATCCTCTCAGTTCTATTGTTGTATTCCTCAGCTTTATTGGAGCTTCCTTTCTGGCCAGTCTCACAACATTTTAAGTCATTCTTCTGGGCTCATTGTTTTTGACTCTCAACATGAATCTGACTGAAAGCCCCTGACAATAGCCATGCCACTGCCTCAATATTTGGCTGCTTTGAAATTTCTTTTTTAAGATTAATCAGTCTATGGTGCTTAATATCAGTCTTAGGCAAAGTCTCTGGATATGAACAAAATACAGACAAACTTTCTGCCAAACCAAAACACACATCATCTGGAGTTCAACATCCAATGCAGTCCTTCCCAGCAGAAACCACCACAGCCTGTTTTTTTTTCCAGAACCAGGGATTGAACTCAGGCCCTTGCACTTGCCAGGGAAGTGCTTATTCCATTGAGCCATCTCCCCAGCACTGACAGCCTCGTCTTTACAGGTAGGATTTCTACCAGCCTTCTGGTCTTCTGAGCTCTGACTAGAATCTCCCATACAGAGCAGCCAAGGCTGTTCTAGTGTTTTTCTTTTAGGCAACATCTCCAAACCTTTTCTATCTCTTACATTCCCCAAAGTTTGTAATCCACATGGTCAGGTTTAATCACAATAATGAACCTACTCCTCTGATACCAAACTCTATCTCCGTTACTCTTTTCTCATTGCTGAGACAAACACTTGACATCAAAAAAGAAGGAAGGAAAGGTTTATTTAGCTCAAAGTCAGTGGAGGTTTCAGTCCCTACTCAGCAGGCTCCAAGGCAGAGTGACACATGGCAGAGAGCAGCTGTTCATGGCAAAGGCAAAGAACAAGAAAGCAAGAGCAAATGGGAAGAGCAACAGCAACAATGGCTACAGAAAAGAAATCTGTCTCCGTTATGCTGCAGTCAGGCTATTTGACCCAGGCTGGGTGTAGCACTCACACCTCTTACACCAGCAACACTTACATCCATAATCCCAATGGATCATAAGTTAATCATAAACTCTAGAAATATGCCCAATGACTGCATGAAGCTTTGGGGGCACAACTAGACACAAACAGTAACAGACCCTGCACCAAATAGTTAATTAATTAATTAAAAATCAAAGTAAAATAAATCCATAAAAGAAAATGCATATAGTTCAAAAGAGCTAGTTTGGTAATCAATAAGTGAAGTGTTTTAAAGCAAAAAGTAAAAAGAATTACAAATTACATGCAAACAAATTAAAAAGAATGTAGATTACATAAAAAAGTATTATAAAACATATGAGTTTTCATCTGCATACTATTTATATAAATATGACCATTATTTGGAAATGCTTTTATGTTTCAGCCTAATGATTCCAAACTAACAAAAAACCACTAAAAGTCCAAACTGTTACAATGCTAGAAAGTAACACCATTTTTTTCTCGCTCATGAATATATTCAACAATCACTGCACAGATCCATGATTCAGAAGAAAAATCTGGGCCACGCGCTTACGAATTACCATATTTTTTACCCCGTAGACTACAGGGTTGAGAGCAGGTGGCAGCAGGAGGTAGATGGTAGACAGAAGGATGTGAGTTGGGGGAGCAACATGGCCAACCCGGTGGCTGAAGAAGGAAAAGAAGGCAAGAATATAAAATTCAAGAAAGACAAAAATATGAGCTGTGCATGTGTTAAATGCTTTGAGCCGTGCTTCCTTCTGGGGTAGACGGAAAACAGCCTGAAAAATCAGGCCATAGGATATGAGGATCAAAATCATGTCAAATCCCAGAACACTGAAGCCCACAAAAAGACCACAAATTTTGTTGACTCGGGTATCTTCAGCAGCCAGCTTGACCACAGCCATGTGCTCACAGTAAGAGTGGGCAATGCGCACAGAGTGGAACACATGCAGCCTTCTGATGAGCACAGGAAGCAGGCCCACCAGCACGGCAGCTCGGACAGCCACCACTCCCATCAGACGCCCCAGGAC